GATTCTAAAAAAACAGAATAAAACCACCTCAGCCAGGGCCAGCTCTGTGGTGCAGGTGGTGATGTGCTGCTCAAAAGAAGCCAGATTCTACATGGCAACCAGGGTTTGAATCCTGGGCCGGGCAGCCTGCAAGGCATGCACTCGCGTGCCTAGGACCCAAAGACCTGAAGGACCGGAGGAAGGGGACTGCAGCCAGATTCTGTGCAAGGGACTTCTCTTCCTCTCCTCTTCCCTGCACCCTATCATGAATACACTTTTAAAATAAAAATTAGTTAATGCATTAAAAAAAAAAAACCCTTCAGATCATACGACTTGTAAATGTCGCCAAATGGTTACAAAGAAGCTAATGCTGGATCGTTTGGTAAGTCTGGCACATTGGTCCAACGATTGGCTTGATGCTAATGAGCTGTAAGCCCGTGGAAAGAATCGGGCAGGGGCTTCTGAGTCTCCAAGATTCTCACCTACCGTCAAGGTCTCTGCGCTCCCCTTCACCGAGGCGGTATTTAGTATTCCGGGCAGAAAGCCCAGCTCCATCTGGATTTTGTGCAAGCCACCAGCCACTGGTTCTTCCCCAGTGGGCAGGAGCTAAGCTATCTCTGCTCCGTCGTCCATTTGCCAAAAGAGACAATCAATTCAAGTAAGTCATTCAGCCAGGAGCAGGAAGGGCAGGTTCATTCGATGGAAAGGAAGCCCATTCCAGAATCGGGCCCCAGAGCATTTCTTTAACCCCTCTGTGCCTTGGTTAGCCTATTTGTAAAAACAAGGACCTCTCCCTCATAGGGTTCTGTAAAGGTTACAGGAAGTGGTGAACCCCACTCATGTGTGCTCAATAGTTTTTTTAAGAATTATTTTATTTCATTTCATTTCTTTTTTTTTTTTTTTTTTTTTTTTTTTTGGAGAGGTTTTTTTGCTATAGGGCGCGTGCGCTCGCCAGACAGACAGAGAGAGACATAGAGACAGAAAGCGAGAAATCACCCCCCAGGGGGGATGGTCACGCCGCAATCCCTTCTCCTCCATTCTCCTCTCGGGATCTTGGGCACGTATGCACACGCGCCCGGCGTGAGTTTTAAGCCACCGGGTCCGGGACGCGAACCGCGGTCGACTACGTGGGAGTCCAGCGACATAGCCATTACGCTAACTGCTGGTTCCCTCATTTCATTTCTTATCATCATAACTATTTCTTTAATTTGACCAGAGAGAGACAGAGCGAGAGAGGAGAAAGAGAAAGCAGGAAAGCAAGCTTCCAGGTCCAGGACTCAAACCATGGTCAGACATGTGGGAATCCAGTGCCTTAACCACCATGCCACCTACTGGCCCCCAATACTTTTTTGAAAGAATATTTCTTTTCTTTTTTTATTATTACTTTCCAGAGAAAGTAACATGCGATGGGGCATGTACACTTGCTGGAGAGATAGAGAGATGGCAGTGACAAATCACCCCCTCCCCCCAGGGGAAATGGCCGTGCAGGTCCCTTCTCCTGCATTCTCCTTTTGGGATTTTGGGTATGCGCACACACTCACCTGGAGTGAGTTTCAAGCTGCCAGGTCTGGGATTTGAACTACAGATGACCACGTGGGAATCCAGCACCTTAACACTATGCTACCTGCTGATGCCGATTACTTTTAAATTTTACTAGAGGGCACATGCACTCAACAGAGAGAGAGCGACAGAGAAAGAGAGAAAGTGAGAAAGCCAGTTGTCAGGTTCAGGACTCAAACCACTGTTGGCTGTGTGGGAGTCCGGCACCTTAATCAGCATGCCACCTGCTGGCCCCTCTGTGCTCAGTATGTTTTAAAAAATGCGCAGTATCCTGCGTACCAGGTACACCAGACACCATGTAAACACTGTAGACACGGCAGGCAATGATGCCTCCTTGCTTAGACTCTGGCGACTTCGGTTTATTGACCATGTCTTGTCCTTGTCAGGGTCAAATCCAGGTCTCTGGGCCCCAGAGTCAGCGCTCATAACCACTTCTCTCCATGAGCTGCCTCAGTTGTTCCCCGATATAAAGCAGGGGAACCTAGCCACTTGTCTGTGTGGAAGGGTCTTCTTAGGTGTTCTTCAATCCCAGGGGCCTTTGGGAGACAATTCTCTCACAGGGATCTCTCAGAGGTCTCTCTCACTGGCATCCCAGGAAAGTGTTTCTTTTTGCTTTCCTTTTTTTTTTTTTTTTTTTTTTTTTTTTTTTTTTTTTTTTTTGGTGTTTGTAACACAAAAAAAAAGGCATGTATACTCACCAGAAAGACAGAGAAAAATAGAGAGACAGAAAGTGAAAAATCACCCCTCCCCCCGAGGAGGGTTGTTGGTTATGCCACAATCTCTTCTCCTCTGTTCTCCTTGGGATTTTGGGCACACATGCACACACACCCAGTGGGAGTTTCAAGTCTCTGGGTCTGGGACTCAAACTATTGTCGGCCATGTGGGAGTCCAGCAATGGAACCATTATACCATCTGCTGGTCCTCCCCCTCTTTTTTTAAAGGTTTTTTTTTTGCCTTAGAGTGAGTGCGTTCACTGGCAAGACAGAGACAGTGAGAGGGAAGGTGAGAAATCACCCCCCCGGGGGGGTGGCCATGCCACAGTTTCTTCTCCTTCATTCTCCTCCTGGGATCTTGGGCATGTATGCATACACTCCTGGTGTGATTTTCAAGCCACCGAGTCCAGGACTCAAACCACGGTCAGCCATGTGGGAGTCCAAAGATGTAACCGCTCCACCATCTGCTGGCTCCCTGGGAAAATGTTTCTGATCTGGAAACAGAAATGTTGCAACTTCTAAAGCCAAGATAAAAAGCTTTCTAAGCTACCCGAATTTCGAGCAAGAAGAACTTTTGGGGATGCAAAACAGAGCAAGAATAAAGCTTTTTATAAAAAGTAAGTTCTGTTCTAAAGACATTTACAAATGTGGCCAGAAACCAAGGAGAAATTCTCTATGAAATTTCTTTAACATTCAACAGGACAGTTGAATACATCTTTTCAGTTCAAGAGACTCAGAAATGAATCAATCACATGACAGGATGATTTCCAACATCTTGTTTAGGTAGGTAAAAAATATTTCATCGTAACAGATCATGCAGACAGGAACACAAGCATGAAATACTAGCGTGTACAGGTACTCCTGTTTGCCTGAACAGGTTTTTAAACATACACCACAATCAGACTGCCCCATGAACACCAACCACACCTGTATGTTCCCATGTCGTTGCTAGCTTTTACCTAAGAGGTGTGACTATAGAAGGACAAAGTGATTTTTTGACACACACAGCAGAACTCTGGAAACTGCACGCTGTCCCTTCAAAGGGTCATGTCCCTTCTGTGGCCATGTCAGCTGTTCCATAATATGTTCAGAACTGCCATCACTCTCAGGAACAGAGTGTGTGTGTGTGTGTGTGTGTGTGTGTGTGTGTGTGTGTGTTCTTAACAGGACACATTTTTGCCTTTTGGAGAAAATGGAACCCACAGGGTTTTCATTCTAGCTTTCTCGCATAACTAGTCATGTGACCTTGGACACCTCATGTCACCTGGCCATCCTTCAGGGTGCTCCTCTGTGAACTGGATCTAGTAACACCAGCCTTCTGACACCACCCTCCTGTTATAAGTGTCCTTGGGCTTAAATGCGATAAAGCTGGATAGCCCTCATGCGATATGGATTTGTTCCCCCATTCGTTTCGCTGTTTGTTTGTTTGTTACATGGAAGCATTCATAAATATTTCTCTCTCTCTCTCTCTCTCTCTCTCTCTCTCTGAAGGCAATTTTTGTCACTTTTCTTTTTAACAGCCAAAAGAAATTCAGAGTTGAAAACAATGGACATGCAAGCCGCGTTAATTTCCTATCAACTCTAAGACATGTGTGAGCAGGAAACGATAAGGCAGAATTTCCAGACGGTTCCGACACTGGTTCTGGAGAAAGCTACAAAAGAGGCTCGGGAGAGAGGTGTTCTGAGAAGCGGCGGCCACCGTGGAATAGCTGCCTCTCCAGGTGAGCCTAGGAAGGGGACAGTGACTGAATGTCTGAAGTCTCTGCACAGTTAGATTGCTCTGTTTCAGGAAGGCTCAAGAGTTCTGTTTAATTCTCCAGCGAGACTGACTCCATAAGTCACTTCTGTTCCTGATTCACTGGAGCCTGAGGCTCCCACAGTGCCTGAGGGGGCAGGTGAGCTCTACCCAGGTTTCCTTCTCTTGCAAGAATGCTGCTTTCTCCTCCAAGTTCCGACCCTCTGCTGACCACGCCATCCGCTGTACTTCCAAAGGTGCCTACGAACTTCCCAAACTACCCAGCCCGGAAGACTGTCGTTTTGACCGCACGAAGCCCAAGTGCCTGGCAACAACACAGGCCTCGATCCTTCCTTTTCCCTCTTAGACATTGTAAGCATCGCTTGGTTGCATTTCTTCAGCGCCTCCCTTAGGAGCGGATGTGCAGAATCTTCTTGAACGTCTTCTTGAAGTTCTCATTGCACAGTGGGTAGATAAGGGGGTTCAGGGTGGAGTTGATGTAGCCCAGCCACATGGTGAACATGTGCACAGACTCATTGCAACAGTTCTTGCAGAAGGCGATGACCATGAAGAAGATGAAGTAAGGGATCCAGCAGAGGATGAAGGCTGCCATGATAAAACCCAATTGTTTGGCGGCCTTCCGTTCACGGTTCATGTGCAACCCGGACACGTACTGTCTCGAGTGTGAGCGGATCCTTTTCCACGTGAACTTGATGTAATCCAGGCCTATGGCAGACCCACTTCTTGATTTGTCCTTGCCCGGTGCTGGCTTTGTGGAGGTGTCCGAGTCTGTCTGGGAGAAGGACTGGCTGTCACCCAATGTCTGCTCCTCTGACATCTCGTTGACCTTACACATGTTCAGGCTCTGCCCGTCTCGCTTGAGCTGGCACTGGCTCTCGTTGGTGGCATCAAGATCCCCACTCGTCCCCTCTTCCACAGTCGGAGTCTGCAGAACGTTAAGTGGGAGGCTGTGGCGTTTGGCCATTTCTTCATCCTCCTCATGGCAGATGACCGGGGATTCCATCTCCTCAGGGTCTTGGGATGGTGGCTCCAAGACAGGTCCACCACCATCATCCTTCGCCTTCCTTTTCAGAATCGCCCAGAGAGGCTCTTTCCC